GCATCATGGATAGCCGGGAACAGGTTTTGCGAGGCAAGACCGTGCGGCTAGTGAAGGTGCTGTGGCAGCATCGAGGAGTAGAGGAGGCGACATGGGAGCGCGAGGGCACTGTCCGTACTAGTTATCCTTTCTTGTTCGAGGATGGAGGTACATTCTTCCGGTCATTTAGCATTAATTGACTGTTGTATATGCATGTGATTGTATGTGCATGTGTATGTGAATTTCGGGGACGAAATTCTTTTAAGGGAGGAAGAATGTGAAACCCGGAAAAAATTTTAACTTTTTCTGAAAAAAATGGCAAAATGGTAATTTGCCATTATAGTGTGGGTTAAAAAAAAAACTGGTATTTTTATAGACCTCGGATGATGAAACGGACCTCACCGTTGGATTCGTCTCACGAAATCTAGTTACCCAGACAAATTTCGTCGAATTCTGAGATAGTCAGATTTTTTACGTTTTTCGAGGTGACGGGTGTTCGATGACCCCTAAAAACGAAATTTTTATAAAAATTTGAAAATTTAAAAAATATTTTAAATAAATTCATATAAAATATTTTGATCTTAAATCGGTACGAAATTTAATCGTTTCGGGATGAAAACGGACCCGGACAAAGGACGACACTTGGCGCGACGAGGGCCAAGTGTTTAGAAAGTATTAAAGTGGGCAAATATCTGAAAAATCAGATATTTGCTCCTCATTTGGCCGGCTGGATCAGACCCAAGAGCAAAGAAGAAAAAAATATAATTCTTCAAGCTTTCTTTCGCCGATTCTCGGAGTTCCGTCGGTCGGAATTCGTCGGGCCAAGAATTAAAGTCGATCTACGCGACGAGAGCTACGCGTGGGTACCAAAAACAAAGATTTTCACCGAAGATTCAAAGGGAGGATTTTGGAGAAATCTAAGCTTTGGACTTCAATCTTGTTCTTGAGGCTTCCTACAAATTCTTTACGCTTTAAGAGGTAGGGTTCCTCCTACTCGGACCTATTTCTAACCTAAGGTGTCCATAGGGTTCATGTGGGCTGTTTTGGGTATTTCTAATATTTTTCCATTATGATTGGTGCTATGGAAATGGGTAGGATCAATTCTAGTGTGAATTGGTAGTTAGAAAGTGCTAGTTTGTGATTTCTTGAATGTTTAGATAATTGGTTATATAAAAATCATATATTCTGATTTTTATTTTATTTGAATGATCCATATAAAATCTTGGCTTGATTTTCGTATATGGAAGTATTTATGTAATCCCTTGGAAATTGGGATCATGTGGGCATGCTTTGTGTTTTATATTATGCCTTGTGAATTAAATGTAATATTAGCATGTATTATGTGTTATCATGTTGATGGAGTGTTGATATATGCTCTTGGATATATTGAACTTGAAATGGTTATGTGATTATATGCAAATGATATTAATTGTCATGGTATACAATGATATTTAAAAATTGTCATTTGGCATGCATTGCAATATGGACATGGAATTAACATCACATTCATGAGCTACATGCATGAGTGTGGGTGTAGGGTTGCATGGGGTGATCAACACCAACATTGGTACTTGATGGTAGGCTCGGGAAAGTGGGATGGAACGTCCTACGGAGTCGCACGGTGACATGCATAAGAAAACTTGTGTCGGGTATAGCAAGTAGGGCTAGACACTCCCTCGGGTGAAAAACCCAACCACTTGGTTCATACACTTACCGGCGGTGAAATTCTAGAAAAGTGTAACGGCGTACGGAGCCGGAGGTGCGATTCCTGAATCCGATACCCCATAAGGGCACATGATTTTGAAATATAAATTATTCATTTGATGGGAAACATCCAAGAATGAATTAGTTTTATGACATATGGTTGATTTCAAAATGATCTTTGGATGTGTTTCATCAAAGACGTTTGTTTTACACGTAAGTGTCGCATTGTGTTGTGGGAGTCGGTGTGGGCTCGGGATAGCATGCATGGGTGAGTTTCATCTCATTACTTGGCATGGCATCATGATTTTCCAACATTGTATTATATGTTATTGTTGGAGGGAATACTTGTTGTGAAATGTTACATTTATACATTGCATATGCATTTTAGGTGATGAGTAGCCTCTGTAGGGATTATTCTACTGGGCATTGGCTCACCCTATACGGGAAACATTTCAGGTGTGGGTCATGCACCAATGAACGACTCACAATCAGGGTCACATGGTTGAAGAAAAGCCGACTTGTGGCTTCCAATCCATTTCTTTTCTGTAAAAGTAGATTTGTAATTAAATTTTAGCATGTAATGTGTAAAGGAATTGTAATAGAGTATATATGGACTGTTTTAATATAACCTTGCATATTTTGATATAAATATGATGATTGGACCCGGTGTGGTCAAGTTTTATGTATAAAATAGACCCTGTGTGGTTATGATATTATATTGGACCTCGGATGGGTCATGTAAATGTTGATTGCACAGATTGTGTTTTGGGGTAGAGCTTCCTGTACAAAGGAGACTCTGCCCAGATTTCGTTAAATTATGGATCCCGGTAAATGGAACACAACGGTACGATATCGAGTTATACGGTATCCACGGGCATTCCGTGGGTTGATGGAAAATTAACGGACCCCATGAATTTGGGGTGTCACAGCTCGCATGATGTGAATGATTTTAGATAGTAATGTCGTCCAAGGGAGAATTTGGGGCATTACGTTTCTAGGAAGAACGAGGGGAATAAGAAACCACATAATGTACTTGGTAAACCAAGGAAACAAGCTTCTCTACCCATCAATGGAATCCATCATGTTGTTCCGGGAGGGGGAACCCGATGTGGATCTTCCCTCACGATTATACACATGGAGATCAAGACACTTAACCTAGGTGGGGTGGGGGGGAGGTGAATAGGTTTATCAATTTTAGACTAAATTTATATCAAATCAGAATCCATATTTACCTCAATTACCTCTTATCAATTGAATATGGAAATTAACGACCCCTTTAATCACCAAGAGCCATTAACACCCATGATGATTGATTAAATTAATTTGCAATTAATTCGCTGAAATCAATCTTAGGGCGATTCCAAATTTCACAAACCTAAATTGCACAACTATGGATGATAGTGTGCATGTGCTCACAATTTCAAATTTGTACAATAAACAATAAGAGACAAAAGCAATTTGGTGACGCAGAAAACCCTCCTTGGGAAAAACCGTGGGGAACGACTCGGGGTTTACCAAAGTCTAATCCATTACGTGCCAAGTCAACATACAAGTACTCGGGTCTTATACTTCAACCAATACTTCCTCATTTCCTTGCTATGTCTCTCCATCGAAACTCCCTCTTTGACATCTGGTCTAGCTTCACTTGGACTTCCCCGTCGCACGGTTCGTCTAGGTCTGGAGAGATTATGGGCATGCCAAAAATCCTCAACACGGACACACTAATGGGTTTGTTCATCAACAAGCTCTTCTACTCCAATTTGTGAGGATGGAAACAATCACTAGTTATAGCCTTTGGATTCTTAGAGATCTAGGTTTTGGTGGAAGCTCTCAAAGTTGAAAGATAGATTTCTTCTTCAAACATCTTTCTAAAGGCTCTCACAAGGCTTGACCTAGATGTGGGAAAAATACTATTTATAGGTCCGGAATAATTGTGGTCTTAATAAATAAGAAAACTCAAATTCCTGAACGACTACTTGATCGGTAGGAGGGCGATCACAGGGCGGTTGTCGTTAGAATGAAAAGTGTGTTTCAAACACGAATAAGACAAGCACCGCTCGAGTGAACATAGGCATCGGTCAAGCGACCATGGAGATAGCTTGAGAGAGCTCATAGAGCGAGCCCTGTGTACCTTTCGTGGCCTTTTCCCATTTCATCTTCTAAGTCATAAAGAGACCGCTCCACCGAAGGATAACGATCCTAGATTGATGCCTACAAGTTTTTAAGCCAAAAACCATGCAAAAACTTGTGCTCTTAAGTACTACAAGGTGTTGCTCAAAGAAGGGTTTGGTTGTGACTCAAATTATGTTTTCAAAACACAAATTGGTTTAGAAAACATTTTCTAGGAAAATCCCTGGGATTCATAATCGGATCACTTCCAATTCTATTTTTCATCATAATCATCCTAAGTTAAAAATAACTAAAGGGTCATCTTAGGTGTTTAGGTCATTACCTTTGTCCTTAGCATGAAGGTACATATAGAGGTTGAATGAAGTTGCTTTCGGATCTTGAACTTGATAGCATCATGACCATGAAAGTGGTTAAGATTTTACAATGGACTCTAGGAAATTAGCTAATTACAAAACATGATCTAACAATCTCCTTCTTTGGTAATTTCATGATAAAACACACAAGTTTGAAATAAAGATTACAACCCCAAACCATTAAACAAAGGAATTGTAAATCTAATCTCAACACTTATTCATACATCCTAAATCTCTATCTAGTACAAGGATTTGTATCTTTCGATGAAGCTTGAAGATCATAGTCCTGCACATCACTACTCAAACCAAAACCTCGTGAAATGCATCACATGCACCTACACACACATTTTTATTCACACACACGATTTTCTCCATTTCTTGCATCGAACCCGAGGGAGAGTGAGACTCACTTACTTGTATAATTCATATAAACACATTTTGGCTCGTGTTTTGAGATTAGGGAAAACTATTTAAGGACTTGGTCACCAATCAGGCATTTTTTGGGTGACAACTAGATCTTGCCCCCAAATCTGTTGTTGTGCCTTTTACATCTAGCCCTTCTCCACCGAGCAGTGAGTCGTGCTTTGATTTCCTTTTTTCTCTTTCTTTTTTAAATACCAACTTCCAAATTATGTAATTCATAGAAATGGATCCCAAGGTCATTGATAAAAAGCTTCTAAAAGAGATTAAAGTGTCCGGGGGGATCCAGCAAGTGGGTGTTCCCGTCACAAGAAGCCTAGTATGCCTTTTCCAAAGACAAAGATATCTATTTCTTGCCCTCCAGGGCCTCCATTGATCCTATAGAGCTATGAGACACCATCTGGTACGTTTCCAATGCTTCTAATTGATTCACTAAGTGACAAGGTTGCCAAGGATATAGGTCTGGACCTTACGAGCGCATATAAAGAGGAGCACCTTATTCCCTTAAATTTGTTGATAATAGCGAGATTTAGTCTACCATCAAAATTGGGTCTAATTGGGATATTCCGGCTCTCCAGAAGACCATCAAAAAGGTTTGACTTCTTTTGGTTCCTTTTCTTTCACTTTTTGTTGCTCTATGTATCCACTCGTGGATAGTATATTCAGGTTTTCTTTATGCAACTGGCTATTCTTGTTACAAGTGTTTCTTATTCATCTTTGGCTAAGAAGGAATCTTATGAGAAAGATTTCCTTTGTCTAGTGGAGAAGATGGAAAGCTACAGAAGAGCCTAATGGCTTCCCAAGAGAGGGTTCTTCAAGAATTAAAGGAGAAGGGGACATTTAACTTGTTTGAATGAGATGACCGAGGAGAGGATTCTATTTTTGGACAGTAAGAAAGAGCTAGAGTTCAAGCTTGCTACCTCTAAAAGTTCTTCTTCTGAGCTCTCTTCTCAAGTGGAGAAGACAGTAGAGGAGAACAAGGCATTTTCACTTAAATTTTTTGATCTCTCCACTGCTTTGAACAAGAAAGAGTCTGAGCTCTTCGATGTCTTGAAAGAGAAAGTGTCTGAGCTTGCTAATGCTATCAAAGCTACTACTAGTGTAGCTGTAAAGGATTTCAATGATTCTCTTGATATTTAGAATTACAATCTGGAGTATTATGACAGTGGTTTTGAGGGCTTCAATGCTCAAGCCGCTCGTGCATTCCCGGAGCTTGATTTCTCTAAAATCCTATCTAAGGACGATCCTCCCTCGGCTAATTAGAAACAAGAAGAGCAGAAAGAGGAAGCTGGTGATGAGGCAGATTAACCAGGTGAGCCTTCTTATTATAGCAAGTTGTTTCCTCCTCCTCCTATCTTTGTTGCAGATAACTCTACTATTTCTAAACTTCTCATGAGCCTTTCAGGTTTTACCCGAGTTAGATGGGGAGCCTTAATCTCTAATGAACCCCTGGGGTTCAATCCGAGCAAGGCTTGATGCATTAAACTTCCAATGCACCCCTTGGGTTTAATCTGAGCTATGCTTGATGCCTTAAGCTCCTAATGAACCCAAGGGATTCAACTCGAGCTAGGATTGATGGTTTCTCCCTCTATTAAGTAGTCAAGTGTGGATGCGGCACAAAATAGGATCTGAGACTTAAGGTTTTTCTAGATAGAAAATAGCACATTTATTGATGCAAGCTAAAAGGCTATAGAGAAAGTCTATTACAATCAATGGAAAAGAAAAGTTACTAATAGAAACTCTTCAAATGTTCAGTGTTCCATGTCTAAGGTAACTTGACTCTTTCAAAGGTCACCAGGTGATAAGTCTCTGGTCTCCGAGCTTTTATGAGTTGGTATGGTCCTTACCATGTTACTCCTAACATCCCTTCCCTAGCATCATTTGTAGCTGGGATGATTTTCTTAAAACCAAGTCATTCAGGAGAAAAGTATGTGGTCTTACCCTAGAGTTATGGTACCTTGCCATCCTATGCTAATATCCTGCCACCCTTACTTGTGATTCTTCTTTCTTCTCTTCTAACAAATCCAGATTACAGGCTAGCTGATGGTTGTTACGAGCTAGGCCAAATTCCTTTGTTCTGTACATTCCTAGACTGATCTCCTCTAGGATTACTTCTTCTATTTTGAACACCAAGGAGAATGCAGTTTCTCTTGTATGGGTTATAACAATGATTATGTAGGCCCATAAGATACTTGGGAATTTCTCTACCCATAATCCTTTAGATTGTTCAAGCCTAGTCTTGATACTTTTGAGGAGAGTTCGGATTGTTACCTCAACCTACCCATTGCCTCGTGGGTTACCTGGAGATGAATAATAGTTGTGGATTCCAAGCTCATAGCAAAACCTTTTAGACTAGTTGTTATCAAATTATTTTCCATTGTCACAAATGATAACTGTTGGGATGCCAAATCTTCACATGATCTACTTACATATAAATCCTTTGATTTTTTGCTTAGTGATTGTCGCCTGGGGCTCTACCTCACACCACTTAGTGAAATAGTCTATGGTTTCAATTGTGAACATATTCTACCTTTTCTCCATTGGGAGGGGTCCCATAACATCAATTCCCCACTGGGAAAATGGTCATAGGCTTGTTATTTGGATGAGTTCAGTGGGATGCAGCTTTAGGACAGAGGCAAATGTTTGGTATTTTTCACACTTTCTCACATAGCTTTGTGCGTCTTTCTTCATTTTGAACCAAAAATACCCTTGCCTGAGCACTTTTTGTGCTAGAGCATGTCCTCCTAAGTGGTTTCCACAAACCCCTTCATGTACCTCTTCAAGCACATATGCTGCCTCACTAGGGGCTAGACACCTTAATCATGGAAGCGAATACCCTCTCTTTTAGAGAACCTGATTGAGTATTGCGTACCTACCCACCCTCTTAGGAGTTTTTTACCATCTAAATATCCTGGGGATAGTTCCATGCTACATATATGTGAATATTTCATCAATCTAGCTTGTCTCTAGTGTGACTGGTTGGATATCTAGGCCCTGTGTGCTTAGTTGTTGTAAAAATTCCATAGAGATGCTCCTTACTATGTCATCAAACATAGTTGAAGATAATCATGCTAAAGAGTCCGGATTGGAGTTCTATAACTGGGATATATGGATGATCTCAAAATGCTCAAACTTTTGTACCCATTTCTTTATAATACTTAAGTAAGAGCTTATTCAGACCTCCCTAGCCTCATACTCCCCTTGCAATTTTCTTACTACTAGCAATCATAATAAGCATGTAAGTGTTTTAATCTAAGTGACTTAGCTAACTTTAGACCTGCAATGAGGGCTTCCTATTCTACTTCATTATTTGAGACCTTGAACCAAAAGCGTAGGGAATACTCAATCTTCTCCTCCTTTGGTGAGATGAGGATCAAACCAGTCCTACCCCCAGATGAATTTGAGGACCCATCTACATATATCTTCCTCTTTAGGGTTTCTTATGTCTCATTCAAAAATACTGCAATTAGCTCAGCTACTACTTGTCCTTTCATAGCGATCCATGGAATATATTGTACATCAAAATCTCTTAGCTCGATTGACCATTTGGTTAGTCATCAGGACAAGTCAGGCTTCTAAAGGATCTACCGCAAGGGAACATCTATTCTCAACTCAATCGTATGCACTTGAAAGTAAGGTCTTAACTTCCTAGAGGTTGTTATCAATGCAAAAGCTATTTTCTCCACTGTTGGGTACTTTGATTTCCCCCCCCCCATCACTGTTCGTCTTACATAGTAAACCTAATGCTAAATTCATTTTCTTTGGCACATTATGCTGCACTAGTTGCTTTTTGAGACACAGCTAGATATAGGTACAACCTCTCTTCTTGTTCTAACCTGACAATGAGTGATGGTTTGCTGATACATTCTTTAAGAGTTTTGAAATCAGAATTGCACTCTGGGCTCCATTTGAAAGCATTACTTAGTGTTTTAAAGAAATTCAAGGATTTCTCACTAGCTCGAGAGATGAACCTATTTAGTGTTGCTGGTCTCCTTGTGAACACATGGACTTCCATGGTGTTCTGAGGGGATCTCACATCCAGGAATGCCTGGATCTTTTCAGGGTTAGCTTCAATGCCCCTTAGGGTCACTATAAAACCGAAGAACTTCCCTCAAAAGACTCCAAAGGCACATTTGGCAGAGTTGAACTTCATGTTGTACCTTTTGAGTATCTCGAAAGCTCCTCTTAGATAGTCTATGTATTCAATAGCTTGAAGGCTTTTGATGAGCATGTCGTCCACATAGACATCCTTTGGTATGTGCTCTTGCATTCTTTAGACCAAAAGACAAGAAATTATAGCAATAAGTCACTTCTTCTATGATGAACGAGGATTTCTCTTGGTCAAATTCATGCATCATGATTTGATTATAGCCAAAAAAATGCATCCATGAAGGTTAGTATCTCGTATCCTACTGTAGCATCAACTAGAATGTCAATTCTAGGTAATGGGAAGTAGTTTTTTGGACACACCTTTTTCAAATCTATAAATTCAATGCACATCTGCCATTTTTTGCTGGTTTTCTTTACCAGTATTACTTTGGCTAGCCACTTTAAGTATTGCACCTCCCTTATCGAGTTAGCTTTAGGCAGTTTAAGCACTTCTTTCTTAATTTCTCTATTTCATTTTGGAGCAAAGCTTCATCACTTCTATCAAACAGGTTTGAAGTTCGGGTTGACATTCAACCTGTGTATCATAATAGACAAATTGATTCCCATCATATCTGACTGCTTCCAAGCAATAACATCCTTGTTGGAATGCAAGAATTCTACAAGCAATGATTTGAGAGCTTTCCTGAGCATCTTTCCAACAAAGGTAACCTACTTTAGTTGGTCTCCAATCTCCAATTTCGTCGGGGGCATTCTCCATCACCTTTGTGGTCCAGTGATTCTATCTACACTACCTCTTGTTGTTGTTTTTTTAGCATAGAAGCAACATAGCACTCCTTGGTTGCTACTTGATCACCTCGTACCTCACCTACTCCGAACTTAGTTGGGAAACATAGTAAAAGAGGATATGCTGATGGAACTTCCTTCATTGAATTGAGGCTTGGTCAGCCTAGAATGACGTTGTAAGCTAAAGGGTAGTCTAAAACTAGAAAGTTTATCATGATTGTAGTTTGATGAGGTGTTTTTCCAGTTGTTACTAGGATGACTATAGCTCCCAAGGAATATGTTTTCTCTGAGCAATGATAGGCACCAAAATTTCTCTGTCTATGTTTAATTTGTCAAAGGCATGGGTAAATATGATGTTAGTTGAGCTTTCACTATCTTTCAAGACCCTTTTTACCAAGTAATTGGCAATGGTTAGAGTCACAACTAATGGATCATCATAAGGATGTTGAATTCTACTCAATTCCTTATTAGAGAAGGTTGTTAAGAGTATTCAGGTATTATATGTAAATACTAGAAGGCATGTGTCCTTTGTATGATTACAAGTTAACTATAAATACAAGTGGTTGGTGAGAGGTATGTTAAGTTTTGACCACTCTCTGTTTCTCTCTAATATTGTGTTAATTCTCTCAAATTAATATGATATTAGAGCATTACGATCCTAAATACTAATATTAACCCAAGTCTCCACGGCGGTGTGGTGTTATCATGACTGTGCAGCTATTGTCATAGTCCTCGGCGGTGTGGTGTTTGTCACGACTGTGTGGCTACTGTCAAAGTCCTTGGTGGTGTTGTTATATTTTCGTGGTGGAGGTGTAACGTGACTTGATCCAATATGTGTACACCCAAGTGTAAGTGGTCAATTTGTAGTAATAATCCAGTTAAGTCCGGAGTCGAATCCACAGGGAAATATGATTAGTGTTTTGAAGTAACAGTGATAGAGACCAAGTAACTGAAAACCTTGAGAGTTTGAAGTTATGGGATTTCCTAAACAGAATATAAGATTCTTTCCAAGAATTTTCTAAACAAGATATAAGATAAATTCAAATGTAAACAGTCACCCTTTAGCTCGAGGATCTGAACATGTAGTTAATCATCTGGTTTATTATACTTGTGTTTGGTAACTCAATTAAATCCCGTGTCAACGACAAGTTAATCGGAAGGTAAAGGTGGATTGTAAGAATTAAGCATATGGTTCCGATGCCTTTCTAAAAGTTTACAAGAATTGTCTGTGCCGAGACTCAACCCGTCTACAAACAAGGAAGTGTTTCTACAAGTCATCCAACCAGGGCATTAATATTCCACCTTTTAAATGAAGCCCAATAATGGTAAAAATTGAAAGGTAGTCATGAAGATCTAACCGGAGTACTTGC